CTCGATGAAAGCGATGTTTTTATCAGTATTACCGTATCAGGTTAATTTGAACCGAGGTTGTTTAAAACCGATCAAACAATTGAAAGACAATCAAGGATTTAGTGTGAGATTACGCTCAACTAATTTTCTATATTGTTCCGCGGTGTGTCGCTTTGATGGTGCATCACGTTATTATAATATAAAAAAGGGTGCGTGTACTTATGTACGCGCGTAAGTTACATAGTCTAGTCGACAAGTTGAAAATGGAACAAAATAGAGATACTGCTCTTAAAATTATGTGCGATAGCTCATTCGAACCGGAATGACGCCTAGAAAAATGTGCTAAAAGCGTGTATTAGCACATAAAAAATTGCAAAAGTTATAGACCATTAAAGATGAAAAAAAATGGAATTTAGTTTTTTGCCAATATTTAATAAACTATTAATATTTAAGAAATTTCAAATAAAGATTCTGAAAGAGGAGGAAATTTCCAATAAAAAACTCTCAGCTCCCGGAACTCTATCTCCATTATTTATAACTTTAATTTAACGCTGAAAATAGGTCTGTGCGTGACATTTTTTAGGATTCGCGCGTGGCGTCAAAAGCGACTACGGCACATTAATTAATTTATTTAAGGTATTGAATATTTTTTTTTAAATTTGAAAAAATTATGGTGTGTTCTGAACACTATAATTAATTTATTCCCGTTGGAAATTTTACTTAAAGTTAATTTTTCAACAAGTTAAATAATTGTTAACTAACGAAATTTTCTCGAACGACCGTCTTAATTGTAAGTGAAAAAAAATGTTTTAATAATGGTCGTAAAAATATTTCGCTTCGTAGAGCCTTTCTTACATACATACTTAACAAGATCGTGCCATAAAAGTTAAAGAAATATTTATACTTTGTTTATAACAATTTTTTTTACTTAAACAAAAACTTAAAAATCCAAGTAATGTTGTTAAAAAATTTTTTTTTTTTCTAAATCATCAAATTATCGTTTTTATATTAATACAAGATATTTATTGATTTGCAAAAAAAAAAATTCCCGCCATTTGTTAATAATTTTTTTTTTAAACAAATTGATTAAATCAATTGTTTTAAAAAAAAAAAATTTCACAACTTTATTACATTACAAATATTATGATTGTTTAAAAAAAAAAATTTCCTTAATAACATATTTTAATTGTTTATAATCGTTTTTTTTATATTTCTATTGTTTAAATAATTAGTTAAGAAATTTTTTTTTTCTAAAAATCATAATTGACAGTCCTCTATAAAGTAACAAAAAAATTTTTTTTTTAATCAACAATTCTATTGTTTATTAACTTACCAATTTGTTATAAACAAATGTTCAACTTTTTTATATTTTTTTCTAAAATTTCTAAAATTAACAAAAACGAACATATATAACAAAGTCTATAAAAAAAAAAAATTTTTTTTTAATAAAAGTAATATTCATGATAATCAAAAAAATTTAAAAAAAATGTTTTTCTATATTTTGTTATATATGGTTGTTTTTGTTAATTTTAGAAGTTTTAGAAAAAAAATATAAAAAAGTTGAACATTTGTTTATAACAAATTGGTAAGTTAATAAACAATAGAATTGTTGATTAAAAAAAAAAATTTTTTTGTTACTTTATAGAGGACTGTCAATTATGATTTTTAGAAAAAAAAAATTTCTTAACTAATTATTTAAACAATAGAAATATAAAAAAAACGATTATAAACAATTAAAATATGTTATTAAGGAAATTTTTTTTTTAAACAATCATAATATTTGTAATGTAATAAAGTTGTGAAATTTTTTTTTTTAAAACAATTGATTTAATCAATTTGTTTAAAAAAAAATTATTAACAAATGGCGGGAATTTTTTTTTTGCAAATCAATAAATATCTTGTATTAATATAAAAACGATAATTTGATGATTTAGAAAAAAAAAAATTTTTTAACAACATTACTTGGATTTTTAAGTTTTTGTTTAAGTAAAAAAATTGTTATAAACAAAGTATAAATATTTCTTTAACTTTTATGGCACGATCTTGTTAAGTATGTATGTAAGAAAGGCTCTACGAAGCGAAATATTTTTACGACCATTATTAAAACATTTTTTTTCACTTACAATTAAGACGGTCGTTCGAGAAAATTTCGTTAGTTAACAATTATTTAACTTGTTGAAAAATTAACTTTAAGTAAAATTTCCAACGGGAATAAATTAATTATAGTGTTCAGAACACACCATAATTTTTTCAAATTTAAAAAAAAATATTCAATACCTTAAATAAATTAATTAATGTGCCGTAGTCGCTTTTGACGCCACGCGCGAATCCTAAAAATGTCACGCACAGACCTATTTTCAGCGTTAAATTAAAGTTATAAATAATGGAGATAGAGTTCCGGGAGCTGAGAGTTTTTTTATTGGAAATTTCCTCCTCTTTCAGAATCTTTATTTGAAATTTCTTAAATATTAATAGTTTATTAAATATTGGCAAAAAACTAAATTCCATTTTTTTTCATCTTTAATGGTCTATAACTTTTGCAATTTTTTATGTGCTAATACACGCTTTTAGCACATTTTTCTAGGCGTCATTCCGGTTCGAATGAGCTATCGCACATAATTTTAAGAGCAGTATCTCTATTTTGTTCCATTTTCAACTTGTCGACTAGACTAACACTTCTTTGGCGTTATTAAAAATAGTTTTTGATTGCATGCAAATAATTAATTACAATTAACTAATCAAAGACTGGAAAATGAGTCATTATAGTCAATAAAGTTCAGTTTACATTTGAAAAATTAAATAAATAAATATTTATTATTATTCTCTCATTAAATAAATAAATTCTATTATTATTCAAATGTTGTTTTTAAATTATGTCCAATGCCGTGCATCTTCCGTGGGCAACTTCATTCTGTTAATTTTGGGTCACGGTGCGCGCATCGTAAAATTTCGCTCTCATCAATTTTTCATAACGCGCCTAAAGAAGTATAACTTCAAAAATAATTGGTAGAAAATCCTTAGATTAGATTTGGAGGAAGATGAAAATGTTCGTTTTCGTTTCTATTGGAAAAGCAGCAGCGAACTGTTTCACTGATCTTATTTTAAGAAAGATTTTTTCTTCTGCGCCCTCTGGCGGCCAATATACTTAATGTTTCCTTTCCGTTCTTGTGACTTTTTATAACGGCGTGAAGACTGTGGGTATCTTGGAATTATCAGATATAATGTAGATGTCGCAGCCAACTAGCCGTTCCGTTAATTAACATCCTAGCCTCTTTACCAGCGTTGCCAGATTTTTTTATTGCCAAGGCGGGATTTTGGTACTTTTTGAGTTAAACGTACGGACGGGACGTGTGGCAACGCTGGTCTTTACTAAAGCGCCGTTTAGGTAGTGGCCTGAATGATTTGCAGCCACTTCATAAGTCAACTAGGCAAATGAGTTGAATCGATGACGTTACATTAGTTGCCTATCCTGTTCAAATTAGTTCCAGTTTCTGCCACCAAACAGGCAATGTAACGTCGACATACAACAAAATTTGATGATGATCAAAGTTGAATGAAGAATAGTATGGAAGAGTGTAGTGGCACTTGGAGTAAACGTAAGAACACTAATAAGTTATATCTAATATATAAAATTCTTGTGTCACAATGTTCGTTCCCATACTCCTCCGAAAGGGCTCGACCGATTATTATGCATACTAAGTAAGTCTGAGAATCGGCTACTATCTTTCAAACCCCTAAGTGATAAGGGGTCCACCCCAAATATTATTTTTATTTTTTATACAAAATGATACAGCATACAAAAATACATGCAACCCTAAATTTTCACCCCTCTACGATAAACCCCTATTTGTTAATTAAAATCTTATGACTTGAACTCTGAGAAACACAGAAAAACCTAAAAAGTTTCCATTCCAGAAAACCGATCAGTCTCTGGGGTAGCATAGCAAAAAGTACTAAAAAGGTAGGCTAAGTAAGATATCAGTAAGGAGAAACGAAGTTCGCGGGGGCAGCTAGTTTAAAATATATTAAATAAAGAAGTTCTTACATCAGATATTGCAGCTTTTTTATTTCTGTCACATGATCGGTCGAAAGGCCTAAACAGGCCTTCAGCCAGTTTATTAATTGTTCTTACAAACTGTTACAGCTACGGCTGAATACCTTTCAGGCCGCTAGTTAAACGGCGCTGTTTAGTTAAGTGGCTAGGATATTAATGGAACGGCTTATTAAGCTAGGGTGTCGTCCATAAATTACGTGAGGAATTTAAGGGGGGGGGGAGGGGGTCGAGTCAAATCTCATTTAATCTTACGTTGGAGAGAGGGGGGTCTCGGCAAATATCACGCAAATTTTTTTCTGTTTAAAAAAAATAAAATTTGGTAAACGGTTGACCCTAAAGGCCATTTCTGCAACTTCCCGCTAACTCCATACCTAAACGCTCAACATTTCACTTATTTTGTTTTATAATAAAAGCACGAAGCAAATTTTTTTATTTTTACAATAACAATCCAACGCGTTTACGTAAGAAAACCACATTTTGAACCAGTTTTTTAAAATCTCACGTGAGATTTGGGGAAGGGGGTTTAACAAAATCTCACGACATCTCACCAGGGGGGGAGAGAGGGACAGAATAAAATTAATAGAATCAAAGTAAAACATAACCTAATGTACTTTACCGGGAACTGAGACAATCAAAAATAATATTATTAATTTTTTTATTTTTTTTTGCCCCCTAGTTGGCTGCAGACATGGAAGAAAGCAAACTTAGGCACCATAGAGCCACACTTTGTAATTAAATTATAATTTTCATTGTAATTAGTATATGGGCAACCAACATAATGCTTTCCTTATACTGGATATGTATTGTATATTATCTATATAAAGTTTGGTCTGAGACATTAAAAAATTAAACGTTGTGTCAATAAAATTTTAAATTTGTTAGAAGCTAAATACTTTAAATAAAGATCAAACTTGACTGGCACGCTCGAGATTTATTTTATATTCTATATAATTATTATTTTTCAGTGATGCGGCTTACATTTGCGGTTTTGTTGGTGGCAACACTGGTGTATGCCCAATATCCACGCCCGCGTCGACCAGAAAGATTCGACACAGCGGAACAAATTTCAAATTATTTGAAGGAACTGCAAGAATATTATTCTGTGCATGGACGAGGGCGGTATGTTATTTTCTCTGGTATTTTCTGAGCTGTATTGTCCTGCGGGGCCGTAGGTTTGATGCGCGGCTGTGCACCAATAGACTTTCTGTGTGCGCATTTAACATTTGCTCGAACGGTGAACATCGTAAGGAAACCAGCATGTTTAGACCCAATAAGACGGCGTCTACTAGATCATGAAAGAGATCTAGAATCTGAGGCTCAGAGCTAAAAATGTCACAATTTCCTTAAATGACTTACCTGCGTTATTTGAGTCGCAATATCCGTCACAAGGACAATTAATGTGTAAATTAACTTCTCATATAAGATAAAGTTTATGGTTTCTCCTTCTTAATCTGAAAAGGTTCCATTGTGCCAGCAATTATACGAACATTAATATAATTTCTTTTTACAGATACGGCAAACGACAAATGCACATATCTGACGCATCTGTCATCTTCAAGGAGATTCCGTTCTTTGACGAGGATTTATTCAAAAAACTGGGTTACAAGAAATAAACGAACACAGCAATACGATATATGTGCCAATGTATCGCAAAATGGCGCGAAACTGACTCTTTAGACTATACATAAGTGTTGCCAACACTTAAATTAAAATAGATAAAAAGAAAATAATTTGTTTAAGAATTTTGTTTGTTATCAATATGTTACTTGATTTATAGATTTTCAGTCAGACTTAACAACACCGAAAGTGGTATTTACATGTTATTTCCATAGTAATATTAGGAAAAATTTGACGTTTGCGATCTTGAATTTTTAAATCATCGTGTTCTGAAACAAAACATGTTTTATTACATAAAACAGCCCCCACACTAGGAATCCCTGTGTTCGTGTGGCTGCTCTGTTCCATTTGACATATTATTTGACGTAATAATTCTACATCAACTTCCAATTTTATAATTAAACTACTGTTTCACAAGAGAAATACTTCAGCACAGGACAGGGTGAGACGTTTTATAATTGAAGAAAGAAAGTGGTTAAAGATGAAAAGGCTCCAGAAAGAGAAAAACCGTTGGGTGAAGAGATGTTGGGTAGCTTTTATTAAGGTTTAAGTTGTGAATGGTGTGTGGTGGGTAGTGTTTGTTGACATAATATTTCCAACTATATTTCTAGGCGTTAGAAGTTTTGTTTTATTGTACAATTTTGATGATCATAAGTCAGTACGTATTTGACAAGCAAAAGTCAAATGTAACTTGGGCATTTTTATAGATTAAAAACCTATTTAGGAATATAATATTATTTTTTATTGTTGGCAACATTTAAAACGATTCTAGTCCATCTGTCCGTCTTCAATCTAGTCAATTATTCGTTAAAATAATTTTCAGGCTGGGTGGAAATTCATTTTATCTGAATGTAGTGCATTAATCTCTATAGTAATATAAATATGCAGTATTTGTTGTGTTTTATTAAAGTCCTTTAATTTGATTTCGCTCTCTGACTTGACCGTAGAAGGCAGAGAGAGAGTCTTGCGCGGTTTTCCGCCTATTTCACCTCGCTCCGTACGACACCAGGGTGGGACACCCGCGCTTCGCTTTCCTTGCTTCCAATTGCCTGCTTGGGGTTATGTTTATTTATTTACACTTCGTTGCATTTATAGAAAAACAAATAATATAATACATAAACATTATAACGGATGCAACGGTCGGCCTTATCGCTGAAAAGCGATCTCTTCCAGGCAACGCTAGTAAGGGAAAAGAACTAAAAAAAAATATGATAGGTAAAGTGCATAACCAAATCTTATAAAAAAAAGTGCGTGCCTACAAAGTAAACATGTCAGACGTGAAACTTCTTTGGCAAACTAATTTTGAAGTCTTGTTCATATTTATACAAATTTTAAGCTTTTTTTTTTCCTAGACTTTTTTTTTCCTAGACTATAGTACGGGAGGTAGCAACGTTTTCGAGAAAGAATTTCAGGTCAGCTGATTTTGTGATATGTCTTCCTTCTTGCACTTTCGGTTAGAGTCTGGGCAATCTGGCTGGCGGTAGCGGTTGCGTTCATTAGTGCGCATCCTATCTGTCCAGGTAATAATCCTGGATTTTAAAAGCATTTTAAGAAGCGTAATTTTTAATTTTTCGTTTTTAAATAAGTCTACCTGACATACTTTTTTTATTGCCAGACATTTTTCACATTGCTATGTGCCAGACGCGATTTTAAGTTTTTTTTTTTATAAAAATTTCAAAGTATTTTAGAATGTCTGTAATTTTAATATTATGTTATTTAAATATAAGAAAAACTAAAAATGAATTTGCCAGACATTAATTCGATTGTTAAGCCTTGAATTAAAATGAAAAAGTCATGAAAAGTGTTGCACATCTTTGTGACGCTCTGTAAAAGTTTTACCATCAGGCGCCTAAAGAAGTTTCACTTCAAAAACTCAAGATACGCCGTGCATTAATAAAAAGCCAGTGAATTTGATAAATTATATAATTGGTTAATACAATATTCATCTTTTAAACTACAGTCAAAGACAATCTCAATTTCTTTTCTTCCAATTGCCGTTTACCGCCCTTGTACTCTTGGGAAGAGATCCACAATCGCTGGAACAATCCAAGCGAATCTAGATCGATGCATCTGAAAAATTAACACAATATTAAAATCTAATGTTGTATAAACAGTTTCGATAAACAAACAGAGATACTTAATTTTTCTTTCGGTAGAGTTGTTTTCTCAATTCGTAGTTCTAGAAGACCGTTGACGAGGCCTTGTCATACCGAATACCTATTCTTCATAATCTTCTCTTTTTTGTTTCTTCCGATGACGCAGCATTTTACTCTCATCGGCGCATTTATTTGTGATAGCCGTTCTGAAAAGATTAGTATTTTATGGTACATATATATTCAAACAAGACTAAAATAAACAAAAAATATCTGCATATTGATTAAATTTAGCTAAATTAAATGTATTTTTACACATGAAATTATTTGAAAAATAACACTACACATATTTCTTTACTTGTCTTGACAGTTCTAGATGGATTTGGGAAATGAATGAATAAAATCACCTATTTACCTCACAATACTTTCGGCTACACCGCATTTGTCCACGACAGTTTTTACGATGTCATGGACAAGTTTGGGGTCCAATTTCTCTTTGGCCGGTCTGTTGGGGAACGCTGGTGAACGTTTTCCAGTAAGAGAATGTGTTGCGAGAATGCTGCAATAAAAAGTAATACATATCATCAAACATATCACTTTTAAATTGCAATAATTGCGTTTTAAAACTTTTATGCATAGATTAACTTTCGCGTTATGTCTGACGGTATTCTACTGTGGAGGGCTGATGCAGAGGTGCAATCCATATTTGTGCTGCAGAAGCGGGCTGTTCGGGGTGTTTTTTTTGTTTATAGAACAGGGGCAAACAGGCAGGAGGCTCGCCCGCCGCCCATGGACACTCTCAATGCCAGAGGGGTCGCGAGTGCGTTGCCGGCCTTTTAAGAATTGGTTCTCTCGCTCTTTTCTTGAAGGATCCTAAGTCGAATTGGTTCGGAAATACTTCAGTGGGCAGCTGATGTTGTTGTGTTTCCTCAAAGGTGTCCGTACGGAATAAGATGATGGCATTAAATATTATAACACTATCTGGTCAATATATTCTTGAAGCCTTGTTGTTTGTACAAAAATATATAAACGATTTTAAAACAAATGGTGACTTTCGCCATTAATCGAAGGAAAACTAATCCAACCAGGCATCAGAAGATAGACCACATCTTGTATGAAAATTCTATTCGTTTTTACATCTGCCTAGCGAAATTAGACAATTATCACTAAATAAATTCAAAACTCTCGTTAAACGTAAATTAATCAATAAAGCTTTTTATAAATTTGACGAATATTTAAATGATCCTAATCCTTGGGATTGATTTGCTTCAGTTTAAACAATTTGTATGGCTCAAAACTTAGCGATTAAAAAGAGTGGCGGAGAGTTTCTTGAGCGCTCTACGCCCTTGACTTGCGGTAGTAAATGTAAATTAGAATTAATTTAACTGCTTTTCTGACGTTCATAAGTGTACTTCTTTAACTATATGAATAAAGTTATTTTGGGTTTGAGTTACAAGTACTTACTGTCGAGGAAATATGGCTGTCAATAGTTTCCTGGTAGCCATTGTATAGGAATCCCACTTAATGGACGTGTATATTTTCACTGGGACATTGGCGTTTCCGTCGCCGATTCTTATCTGTAACATTATTATTTCAAAATATATAAATAAAAGTGAAATCCTTACACTAGCATAAAACTAATAATGATTTAATACAGAATTTATCACTCTTTCTCTTACATATCGATTTTACACTACTAAAACTAACGGAAATAATAATTAATTAATAATTACCACATTATTTCCAGACGGTTCCAGCGCATGTAAATACTCGTCACTCAAACTCTGGTTTGATGATTCCTGTTGTAAAGAGATTTAATAATATTTCAAGTAGTTTTCCCATTTAGTAAGCTAATGTTAAACAAATTACTGAATTATTTTTATACGAAAAATTTAATTAATGTTCTAAGCAAAGACTAATTAATAAACTTAATTGAATATTGATGTATCTTATATCTTTTGTTATTCTAGTATTATGATTAGACTTACTGAAGTGCAACTGCGACTCCTTTTACGACTCATCGTTGGGCCCTCTTCCTCCATCGTCATCGACGAACTGCTCTCGTCCACTGTAGCTGTAGAAGGCCTCGCTGAAATCTCCAGATCTTCCGTTTCCTGAAACGTAGCTGGAATACCAACATTTTGAGTTACAGTCAGCAGGCATAGGGTAAATGGACAGGGGGCTCTGCTACAAAGACAAACCGAGTTGTCTTTGCTACAGGTTTATTACAACCCAAGCGCAAAAAAATCCATCAAACCGGTCCAACTGTTTAAGGGGAGCTCAGTGACATACACACGTACCGTAGAATTATATATATGTAAGCTATCCTGTCTTATAAGTTAGTTCAAACTGCACACGGTATGCATATATATATATTAAGATAAGCTTCACGGTGTCTGTCCGCTATGGACTTCTAAACTACTTCACCGATTTCAATAAAATTTGCATACCGTGTGCAGTTTGAACTAACTTAAAAGATAGGATAGCTTACATCTTAATCGATTAAAATAATATTATTATATTGCAAATTATTTGTTTATTATTTGACAGTCACAATTCTAACAGATGGCGCTGTGTTGAAAGTACCAACGTTTCACATAAGCTACAATTTAATGGCATAACCACCAAAAAAGGATGGTCCCCATGTGTCTCCATGACTGGTGTTCTCCTACCGTTTCCCTTGAATAGTTTACTACTATGTAATATAACAAAAACTTTAGCCACAGCAAAGCTTGGCCGAGTCTGGTAGTTTAAATATATATTAAGATAATAATCACAGGAACTACTTACGAGTCTCTGGAGGAGATTGTTTTCCGATTCCCCGAAGTTGTAATAAGGCTTCTGCGGCGATTATTTCGGTAATGCCCATCTCTATTAAAATAATAAATATTAATTTCTTTCCGAACCAAAATAGTCATTAAAAAGACCTTGGGTTTTAAATTGAGAATAGATACTTCTTCCCAAGACTATTTTGTTGCAACATTTCAGAAAAATATAAGCGCAATACTCCTAAATGTACACACTGATTTAAGTGCAAAGGTGGTGTCATTGGACAAATCAACAGTTTGGTAAGGCACTTACCACTCAACGGAGAAAAGCTGATTGACCCCTGCATCGCCAACAGTGCTTGGACGGCGGCGATTTCGAAAGTTACCAGAGACATTCTACAAATTTTTGTGAATTTAGGAACACTCTAAAGTATTATATATAGTACAATTTAAAATACATAGTTACACATAGTCAATGTTGGTTATTAAAAGTAAAACATAAATCAAACAGATTTCAAATACATGTTGACGAAACTTGGACTATTACCTAAGTTGCACTGTTTTAATCAAAATAATCTCCTAATAACATAAAGGGCAAAGTTGGCTTTCACCTTAGTTGGCACATTCTGCTAATATTTTGTACCAAAAATCATATAGTATCTGTAAACTAAAACATCAATAATATGGAGAGTACTTTAGGACCTCATATGGTATTAGCATATAGTGATAACAAATAAAATTAATCCATTACAAAATCATAACCGATGTTTTAAAAAACACTAAATTGTTAAAAGAGGCAATTATTAGCGCTTTTAACTTTTTTGTGTGGTCACGTTTTACAGAGATTTATTAATGAAAATAATACATGTAATTTCTAATTAATACATAATTGTAAATTTTAAAAATAAACCTTTCAATGAAAAGTATTTTAAATACTTAAAAATACAAAAAAATAACAAAACTAAGACCCTTAGTAAATAAAATAATTTTACTTAAAACAGTCTTTATCTCAAAGTAAATAATAAAATTTGAAGTACTTACATTAAAAAGTTAAATCACACACAAACGACTGAAAGTAGCACTCAGGTAATTTCTAGACCTTTTCACTCCAATAAGCTAAAAGACACTGATTGAATTTGCAAAAATATCAAAAGCCAAAACTATGTAAGGGGATGATCATAGTCAAATGTAGCCTCTTTTGTTTCTCCCGATCTCGTTTTTACCTGAAGGAAAAGAGCGAGATGCAAGACGTAATGACACCATTGTCTTTAATTCTTTGAAAATACTTAATCCCTCTTCCAATAAGCTTATTTTTGAAAAACATTTGGTATATTATACAATTGTAAATACCGTTCGGATTTATTGTTTTATGACTACAGATTACATTGATGCTATTTCTGTGAATTAGGATTTATTTAACTTAGCCGTGGAATATTATTGACTATTACTTAGATATATTTTTAAGTTGAAAGCTAGAAATTGTCTCGAGAGAAAAATTGAGTCTTAAATAATTTAATTATGGCGGAGAAGCCAAGCCAAAACATTGTTATCAAATACAAATTGGAAATCAGAATAGTTTATTTTGTAAATGATCTTAAGGGGAATCAGTGAATGATCTAATTTACGTTCTAAGTTCTGATCTAATTTATTTATGTTCTTTATAATATCTACTGACAGTGTCATCAGTCGGGTTTAATGTGCTAGTGAAAGAATTATCAAAATCATTGATATACAAAAAACCCAAGATGCACACTCAACGTCAAAAAAACGTCCTCAAAAAATGAGCGCAACATTCTAAATTGTGCGCTCATTTCAAATAGTCTCGCGTCTACAGTGGAGTCGATGTTATTTATTTGTGTTTTTTTTATAAATAAATTTATGTACTCTTGAACTTCTTTGTGTGTAGTTTTTGACAAATATATTTACGCTATATAAAGTGTGGGTCAGGAGGTAGCCAATTTAACATTTTTTTTTAATTTAAAGAAAAAACTTTTTAACCGGATTAAAGTTATGTATTATTATAAATTGACAACTATTTAACATCCAACACCTTTTGTCTTCAGTCACCGTGACCACTCACGCTGTAAAGCACCCGAAAAGTCGGATAAATTTAAAATTATGTTAAATAGTTGTAAATAAAAAAGTCATGTTCGACTCCACTCAATACCTTGTCCTACCGACCACGGTCGGTCGTAAAATTTTATTGCTGTAAGTACGTATACGCTGCGTTGTAATAACAACTTTAAGCAATTCGCGTAAGGTTGATTTTGCAATAATATATGCTTGTAACATATACTGTTATGGACAGAAATATTGTTTCGGGACACTTTCGAGCGTTACTTTTATATGAGACTGTGCATCTTGGGTTTTTTGTATATCAATGATCAAAATGTACCTTTTTTGAGACAACAACTCCGGCAATAAAGCATTTGTTCATTTTGTTTATTCCGTTACTGTTACAAATTACCAGTGTACCAAATACTTAATGCGAACGCTTTATTACTCATCTAGAATATAAATACATTTTATCCAACGATTCCAAAACAAAGTGCTCTAGTCTGGGGAATAGTCAACGCTCCCTGGTAAATTCGCAATAACCACCTCCATTGGGACCTTAATGTAGAGGACGTTGGCACAATAATAATAATAGACTGCTGGAGCCCACGACGAATTCTACTCCTTGACATCAGGGATCTAGTGAGAAGACTGAAAAGGACATAGCCATCTGAACTAATGAATTAGTGTTAGTGCACGTCTTAAGTGCTAAACAGTGAGTGAAAAAATAGACCACAAGAAGAGAGTGTCTTCATACAGACTGCAAGTGTTATTGGACACTTTCTTAACGTAATGTTCCATGTCTTAGTAAAGACACATGTTTTAAAAAAAATTGCATACGACACTTCGTAGTACAGGGTAACTTGTCTTAATCTAGAACTTAAAGATTTTGTACTCTATAATAGCTGCGTCTTTTATTTATAATTCATAATATTTGTAACTAATTGTATAACTTTGGTCAAAATTACCATAGTGAATACTATTTAAAAAAAGGTATTAATGTAACAAAAACATTGATTTATTACGCCATATACACAGTTTACAACCAGCTGTTTTAAAAACTTTATTTGCAACTGTACTAAGATAATGACTAGACGCCGCCATTTATATTAACAATGATATCAACCAACTACAAAGATTATTTCAAAAATTAGATATCGTTTCAATACTATTAATTTTTTGTATTCAAAATTTAATATGAATTGTTTAATTTAATATCATTTAAAATATGAGATTGACGTTCATGTGTCATACTATTAATAATGTGTAAATGTTAACTTTATTTGTCCCAATGAAAGACTAATTATAATCTCTTATCTTTTCAACTATACATTAGTATATATGTTGAATGTCTTAAACAAATCAGAAAATGTATAATAATATATATAATATTAAAAAAATATATAACATTTATCAATGAAATAGTTTAAAATTCTCGTAATGAATATTGTTTAAGGTAAACAATTGTTCGTTTATTACGCTATAATCTTTTGTTTGAAATGAATGGTTTAAAACTGTTTCAAAAAAAGCTTGTTTTGCAACAGTACTTAGCTGATAGATTATGAGAATAAGACGCCGCCTTTTTAAACGGTTTTATTTAGTAACAATGACATCTGAGAGCTACATAGTTTAAGCCTAAAATAATCAGAAAAATCTATAATCATAATATATATAATTATTATAATAATGAATTTAATATTAAGAACGAAAAAGCTTAACTGTATTTCACCGATTAGGTTATCTTAAGGCTTATTCAAACTCAATTTAACAGCAAGACCCACTAACTTTTAAAATAAAATGTTTCGTTCTGTTGTACGATCTTTCTTTATAACGTAAGTTCTTATAAAAATATGTTTATTATAATGAATAGATTGATCTTTTTTCAAACGTTGTATATAAAATTTGTGTAAGAAGTTACGCTTTTGCAAAATTAATTATACAGCTTCTATTTTTTACTGTATGATAACCTCTATCTCTCTCTTTAATCGGCAGCTTGGGTCCAAGCGTCGTGGTTAGCAACGTAGCACCTGGAGCGGACTATCTGTTTCCATCGCTTTCTGTCCGGAAAACAGCTATGGAAAATGGAAAAACAACGGCATATCAAAAATCGTTTGTAAATAAAAAATAAAAGTTTATTGAATAGTATGAGTTGAACTTTAAGTTAATGTAGCAATTTTGCATGATTTTCATTTGGAATATGATTTTTTTAATTCCGCAAATTGAGTTCGCTTCCATCTTTTAAAATTAATTTCTTTCAAATGTTTTTAGGAATAGTTAAAGCGTAATATATTTTTAAAAAGCCCATGGTATGCAGATATTAACGCAATTATAAAACAGTAGGTTTTATGATTATATTCAAATAAAAAAAATAAAAAAATGGCACATTTTTTAACTTCGTCGAGACTTTTGACAGTAGCCGTTGTGATGTCTCCCGGAGCTTTAAATTTGATTTTGTTTTGTAGCGTATTTAAGAATAATATTTAATTATCTGCCGCAGATATGTGCGGTTTCCGGAAACAGAAAACCTCTATCTACTGTAGTTTTTAATGTTGAACTATTTGTACGAAGTTTATTGTTTTCCTTGTATAATTTATAAGCGAAAGCTCTAAATTTCTGTCTCTTTAAATAGATAAGGAACTAATTAAAGATATACAATATAGTATTTACAATTTTCTTAACCTACAAAGTAATAATAGTAGTAATATTGTTTAAGAGTACATTGTCTTCACATATAATTATTTAACAAATGTAAACAAAATATTGTAAACCTATTTCTTGCCCATTCTTCTCCACACGAAACTACCTTTTGGAAGGGGCAACTAGAATCTTCTTTGTATTTTGTTTGATGTTCAAAAGTGCCATTTTAGTGCCGATAATTTTTAAAACCAAAAAAAATTACAGTAGGATGAAACCCATTAGAAAAGCAGGGGAATATGATCAAAATGAAAGGAAAAATAAATTACGGTCGATCTGAGGTCGGGAAGGGGTGGGGGGGTTAGTTTTAAGGGTAAAAAACGGTTTATCTCGATTTCCGGCAAAACTAAAA